GGGCTGAATGAGTGCTGCCGGCACTGGGGAGCTACAGTTCATCGAGGGAACCAAAATATTGACACTTTGTGCCAAATTTGGACAATGTCACTTAGGGGTGTACTCACTTTTGTTGCCAATGGTTTAGACATCAATGGCTACATGTTGCGTTTTTTTTGTTTTTTTTTTTGAGGGGACAGCACCTTTACACTGTTATACAAGCTGTCTACTCACTGCTTTACATTGTAGCCAAGTGTCATTTCTTCAGTGTTGTCACATGAAAAGATATACTAAAATATTTATGAGATGTGAGGGGGTGTACTCACTTCTGTGATATACTGTATGTGGTGTGTGTGTGTGTGTGTGTGTGTGTGCGCGCACACGCACGTGCATGCGTGTGTGTGTGTGTGTGTGTGTGTGTGTGAAGTGAGCCCTAGGAAAAATAGTTTGTGGCTCATAGGTGTGTACGCCTTTTGAATTTCTGAGTAAATCTGTGCAACACAAAAGGATGTTAGTATCCAGTTTCAGCTATTGTCTGATTAATAATCAAATCTGAAGCAAGCCAAACCAGAAGCAAAATGTATACATATTAACAACTTCTACAGCCAGTCTTTTTAAATATTTGAACAATGCTTCAAATGATCATTTTGCATAGACATTATACTAGAGGGAAACTTAGCCGGAAGGATTAGTCATTAAAATAACAGATTGAGCCTAGTTACTTCTCTGTGCCTGAAACTATATTATCCATCTCTTGCTTAGAGCTACATTTCAATATGATTGTAAACAAGAGAAATTTATTCATTCCTCAATTTTATTGCTTGTAATTCTTTTTAAAAAGCAAAACATGTCCAATAGCCACATTCTTACATAATTACATTGCTGAAGAAGAAAAGAAAAACATGGAAATGTCATTTGTGAACATTTCTCAAACCTTGCCACAGGTGGGATGTCCAAGTTAGTTACGGACACAACATGCAATGCAAGCTTTTCCCCCCAAATTTCCTCTCTTTTCTTTGCAATCATTCACACACGATTGTATAAAGCTGGCAAAAAAATGGTTCGTTTTTTAGGATGCAGCCCCAAACTCTGCAAAATAGTCAATGTCTTCCAATTAACATGTTTTCCTTCCAGCTCTAGTATTTCCTTTGAGGTACCAGCTTCAGCAACCAGACTGACAAATTAAGCCTGAATTTAGCTTTCTTTGAACAGTCACAAAGAAAGCATGGCCAAACACAAGACAAGGGGGGGTGGGATCACATTATGGCAAAAGTCTTTCATCGCTTATAGGATCACCTCTTCTATAAATGTGCTATATTACTGTCTAATTTGATCCAGCAGTTAATCTACTGATGTGCTCAGCATTCTCGGGATTCCTTTGAACCAAAACTGGCCTATATTAACATGGCAAGTATAATAAATTTGCTTGAACATCTCCCATTAGGCCGTTCAGTGGAGCACAGGCTTATGCATTCTGAGAGCTTAGATTTCTTCCTGCCATTGTTTTGTTTCAGTGTCTCCCCTCTTCGTTTTCATTTCTGGAATCCTGTTAGCTCTTTTATCAGCTTGGCTTGGCTTCCTGTGGCTAACTGACTAGATGCCAGGGTGTATCTCAATTGGGCGCACAACCTGGAAGTATGATGATCATGCACCCTGGCACCTCCCCAATTAGCTGCAACTGGTCACAAGAGGTTATAGAAACCTTATGCACAAATAAGTAGGATTCTGGCCCATGTATGCAACTGGACATGAAAAGCATGTCTCTACTAAAGCAAAAATTAGTGCTTGACATATATTATTTAGGGGCATGAGCTGTTGTCTGTACAGAGAAAACATATGCTTGGATATTGGAAGGTCACTTCGACATCTATATACAGCCTGTTATTCTCTGTTATTAAAGGACATGGTGCTCTGAGTGAGGATAAGAAACAAATCAAGAGGACCCCTTCATATGAGTAGGAAGAGCAATATAGGCTGTGTGAGTCCATAAAAAACCACAGAGGCGCCAAAACTGTCACAGACTGTGAACAGTCTAATGATTCAGTGAAATTACGGTATTGGGATTTTTATTTTACATGTTTACAGAAGAAAGACTTCACACCTTTATATTACAGTAGGACTGCCCCACAGGATCAGTATCCATGGTTTCACTTATCTGCTGCCTGAAAATATTAAATAAACCCCTGAAATCTGTTTTTCCAAAGTGTATTTCCAGAACTGGGGGGAACCAAAGACTATGCTATATATAGGATTTCAACATCCATGCTTTCCAGTATCCACAAGTGGGTGTTCAGATGACTTGGAACTTATTCCCCGTGCATATCACAATACTTGCTAACTTTTAAACAAACATTTTTGTCAGATAACAAGAGAAAAGGCTGTGCTTCTCCAACAATAAACAAGTTACTATTTGCTACTTAATTAAGGCATTTGTGATTAAACAATTTGAAGGATTTTAATGTACATGGGTAACTTCTCTACATTCTTTCCTAAACAACCCAAACTTATAGTGCATTCTCCTGACAATTTGTTGTGTTGCATTTCTAACCTACTGGAAGGTAGCCATATGTCAGCCACTGATATATATCCAATTCATTTGTCATTTCCTTTTAATGTTCTGAAAGCATTATGCTTTGTAGAAATGGTTTTCAAAGGCATGACACATTCAGTTCAGCTTGAATGCAACTGCATTCATACATGACACATGGTAAGGTAAAGGTAAAGGCTCCCCTTGACAATTTTTGTCCAGTCGTGTTCGACTCTAGGGGCGGTGCTCATCCCTGTTTCCAAGCCATAGAGTCAGCGTTTGTCCGAAGACAATCTTCCATGGTTACATGGCCAGTGCGACTTAGACACGGAACCCTGTTACCTTCCCACCGAAGTGGTCCCTATTAATCTACTTGCATTTGCATGCTTTCGAACCGCTAGGTTGGCGGGAGCTGGGACAAGCGACGGGAGCTCACTCCGTTGCGTGGATTCGATCTTCTGCGCCACCACGTCACACATAGTAAGGGACTTTATCAAAAAAAGTACTTAAAGTACTGCTCACATAAAGCAGAGGTAATCAACCCCCAGTCTGCGGCCCGGTGCCAGTCCGTGGCCTGAGCTGGACCAGGCCACAGAGACAGATCTCCCCCCCTGCACGCACTCCCCTCCCCACAGCTGCTTTGAGCATGCACGCCATGCCATCCCCCACCCCTTCATGCATACGCCTAAGCACCTGAACACACATGCAAATGAGTGGGCAGGCACGTGGGTGGATGTGCAGGTACTCCTGCACATGTGCAAAGGGGTGGGGGAGCACTCACAGCAGTGCTGGCACACGCACACTCCCCCACCACTTCACGCATGTGCCCAAGAGTGTGCGCCCACGGGGGCAGGATGCCCACCTTCCTCAGAGGCTCAGCCAGTCTGCGGTCCCAAAAAGTTTGGGGACTGCTGCTCTAAAGGTTTTCATGACTGTTGCCTCCCTTTTTTGCAGTCTGAAAATCACACAGAAGGGGCAGCACGTGCAGGATTTGTTCACACTGGAACTCACATGCTGCTCTTCCACCTGTGCCATTGTAGGGTGGTCCTATCCGAATACAAGGACTACAAGTTAAGCTGTAGATATTCACCGGAGTAATTGAGCAGTTGTGGCAGAATTTATTTTCACCCTATTAGTCTTTCGTTGCATTCAGAGAAGGAATGATGACTTACTAATGGATTTTATATTTTCAAAAGTGAAACATTGGCCACTGGAAGTGTCTTCATCCCAGCAGTCCTTGGTGTACTTTGAAACTTGCTTAGAACCCAGGTGAGCTTCATATGAATGTTTACTGTCTCTTCCTATATGCCCCCTTCAATACTGCATCTAAATGTTAATTCCATGCCTTCAACACTTCCAGCTCTTTTCCTTTCATCCCCACTTGTTTCATGGACCACCTAGCTTGATGAAGATTTCAGAAGCATCCTAAAGCTTGCAACACCATTTTTGGGTGACATCTTCAGTGCTCCAATAGGCTAATGCAGTTTTTAAGATTTTTCTTATGGTGAGATGCGCTACCTTTTGCTTTCAGAAAATGACTGGTGTCATTGACATTCTATAATACAGAGAGCCAGGCACAGACTTTTAAACTGATAGAGCCATTCAAAAGTAGATTTTATTAATACCCCATACATAAAAGATGGAGAACCTCTTTCAGGCTGAGGGTTGGATTCTTACTTCCAAAACATTATTTCCCAAAAGTAAAAGTAACAGTAAGACAGGCATTCCAACCTTTTAGAATGGGGATAAAACTATACAAAAGTGATCAACCTCTAACTGATGGCATCATGGAGTCATGGATGTCTAGGGAATCTCAGAGAGCCAGATGAGGATCTCAGCAGGGCTGGATTTGGCCCCAAGACTTGACATTCCTGACCTCTACCATATATCACTAGGAAGACAAAACATACCATAAGGCTTACAATATGTTTTGCCTTTGCAGTTCTATATGGAGGTATCTGTAAAATTTAATTTCTTTTATACATTGTAAATTAATCTATTTTGCCCAGCATTTGATTCCAAGGAGAGATGTTCAGCTCTGAAATGGTCTGAGTGCTGGTCTATCAGTTTTACCCACGGTATGCACACATATACCAAGAAAACTGTTTTTAAAAAATCTCAATTTTGTTTTGATTATTGATAATCCTGTTAATTTTAGAAAAATTGCCTCTGTTCTGACACCATCTTTGGTATCTTTTGTACCAGCTATTTTTATATATAGTGAGTGGTTTTCTTTTGTCTGATATTTAAATTTGATTATTATTGTAGTTTTACTCTAATGTAAGCCACAGAGAATAGTGGCCCAGCCACTAGATGAGCAGGATAAACATTTAAGTAAATAAATAAATATTAAGTCTTGTATTTTATTGTTACATATTGTTTAATGAAGAAATCAACATCGCAAGAAATATCAAGAGGAAATGAAATGGAGAGATGAAACATCTCGGAGAGGTTCTGGAATCAAAATCATGTAGGTTCTCAATTATTCACTTACTTTGGTTCTGATGATGAGAGGTAATGGAAGTAGCAGAAGGGGAGTGAAAACAATAAGCAGGAACCTTCGAAATGCCAAGAGTTTTCTCATTATCTTCATTGCAGTGGGTTGGTGACTTCGCTTTTCTGCAGAAACAGTAACCTGTACCATTACATTGAACCTTAAGTAGATGGGTCTGATTAATATTTCTCCAAACTATCACCTTTAGCCATTGCAACAGAGCCTTCAGTCGACCTGAGTTAAAATTAAAGCTAGTTTTTATTGTTTTAGTGTCTGCATCGACACGTGAGATAAGAGATGCATTCAACAGCGGTCAAAGGCACTGCATTCTTTTCTTCCCTCAAGATAAAATGATTTCTCCCTGGATTGTTTCTATGCCTTTCTGTGCACTAGACTTAGACGGAGAACTCTAGATCCTACTGGATGTTTGAGAAGGCAACTTCCATTAGCCCCATTATTAAGCTTTAAGAGTATGTTTTGTTCTCAACCCGAGACTTTATTTGTCAAACCAGCTTTGGCTAAATATATATAACTGAAG